AATTTGAGGACAAATTCTTCTAAAGAAGGAGGGAATGATGAGGACATAGGAGGTGGCATGACCAAGACAATAAACTTGGAGGACATACAAGGTCTTGGAGGCCCAATGACAAGAGCAAAAGCTAAAAAGGCTAAAGAGGCTCTAAATCTCTTGGTGACCACTTTACTTGAGACAAGCCCAAGTCTAAAGGAAGAAGAGCCCAAAATGATACACTTAATTAAAATTGAAGACCTTGAAGAATAAGCCTCAATGGATATGCATGAAGGCTTTATTTTACTTGGCCCAAATTCTTCACTTAATTTTTTATTTTCTTATATTTAGTTAAACTTTTTGTAATAAGGCTTATTGGGCTGGATTATTGGGTTGTCTATCTTCTTTTATGTGTAAGTACTTTTAGGTTAAACTCAATATGGTTGTTGCCCACTATATAAGGGAACACCATGGCTTTTGAAGACGGATTTGGAATATCAAGTTAACCTATTTTGGTGAGACTAGTTCTCTTGGGTTCTTTTGAGAATCTCTGAACTTATCAAGGGCATCAATCCTTGTGGCGTTCTTGGGCTTATCAATTCTTTCGAATTGTGGCGCCTACCTATAATCCTTAAACTCCAATTTCGTTCTATATTATCTTGGATTCATATCTCTCGAATTCCTTATCCTTTTCCGGTGATTCTTGTGCCAAAATCGTGATTCAAGAAGCCATCTTTCACCTCGTTTTGGAATCACCCAAATCCGAGGTCTGTAGCGTGAGATACGCTCTGTTCTTAACAGGTCGTGTTGGTGGATGAATTTGGGGTTAGAATTTCCATTCCTAGTAGATCCATTCCTCCATTCCTATTGGGGATCATATCAGTAAGAGTATCCAAAGCTTTAATTAACCCCACATTAGTTGTATAGGCAACTAATGTGGGACTTGTAATATTGCCACCCCTTTAAGGGCCAATGTCAATGGCAACTTTCAGTCTATCAACATTAACCCGATTGTAGCCCTTTCTCTTTTGGCGGCTTCACTCACCTATCAGTATTCAGTACAACACCCTTTTGGGAGGTATAGTATCTTAATCCAGCATATAGGTAACCCTTTCTGTGGCATCAACTCTCAATGAAAGCACCAATTGTTACGGACCTTAAGATCACCAGCCCAAAAGCTATCTCAAAGAATAGAAGTGCCCAAAGCTTTATTAACCCTAAGTTGTATAGGCAATCAATATAGGACTTGTAACCGATGTGCTTCATGCTCTTAAGCTTGATAAGTGTTTTGAGTTTTCCACTTATGGCCTTTACTATATTGGTCAATTTTGCGGGTAACAAAGCTGGGTGAAGAATGGTGGGTTGTTTCACGGAGGTTATTTTTTTAAAATCACCCCATATTTTTATATTTTCAGTAATATTTGACAATTAACCAAGCATAAAATTAATAAATTTGAGGCAGCATTCCTGATAATATTTTAGCTTACAAAACAATTTTCTGCTCATTTTTGAAAAATTTATTTTTCTAGTATATTTCCTAGAATCATAATTTCCAAGAATAAAAAAATTTCTCTTATAACAAATGTCCCAAAAAGTTTAAATTGTTTGGTGAATATTTTATTATATTTTTTAATATGTTTTTCACTTGGGTTTAAAGGATAAAATATATATAAGTCCATCTATTTTTGTAACACTGTTGTTTGTGTGGCTAAGAGAAAAATCAAGCCATTACTTTCTTCCTATAATATATTTCATTTAACACCATTAATAGTTTATCTTAATAGTTCTGTTAACCAAGAAAGCACAGACACTTGTAAAAAACAGGGAGAGTCGTGTCTGACACGCTCCGACACGGTCTGACACACGGTCAACTTTTTCCGACACGTTGACCATTCCGACACACGAATTTGACCGTGTCCGACACGGTCAAATGACATTTTCGTAAATTTTTTTAATTTTTTTTATAATTTTTTTAAAAAAAAATTAAAATATATTAATAAAGCTTCCACCTGATTATATCAATTTTATTTTTTTGTCTTTTTTCCCTTAAGTAGATAAGAGATCATTGTCTTCAATTCCTATCATGCTCTTGTTGTATCTCTTTGTCTCTGATCTCTCTCTAATATGATTTGATCTCTCTATTTGATATATCTCTCTCTCATCCCAGTTCTTATTTTTTTTATTAAAGCTTTCATCTTTATAACGTGTTGATGGATGGGTATTATTAATTTAGTTTCATTTTTTGTTAAATTATTAAATATTAAATGAAATATACACTATATAAATTAAAAATATTATTTAATATTAAAACGTGTCCCAACGTGTAGAAATCCATAATTTTTTAGGATTGACGTGTCGGAGTGTCGTGTCGTATCGTGTCACGTGTCGTATCGGAGCTACATAGCTGTTAACAGCCTTACAGGGAACAATTCGAGTGGAGTTAATCACATTCAATTGAAAAAAATAAAAATAGAAGTTAAAATAAACAAATGCAGTTTTTACTAGGATTCAATTGAATAAGTTACACTGTTGTAAAAAAGATTTATTCTTTCTCATAATATAAGAGATAGATTTATTTTTTATGTATATATAAAAGTTTATGAGATTTATATTTTCACTTTCTTTCTTTTCTCTTTACATGACTGTATATATTTTATATGTGTGTAGAAAATAAATTTATCGTTATATTAATATTAAACTATTCAGGCCACTACAAATAAAATAATGGCTTTCGGAGGTAACTTTACGAAGACAAGAATCTCGCGTTTCGATTATATACAATAGAGGTACTTAACTACTTATTATCACGAGTCTCATTGAAAATCACGGGTTCAGACTTCAGAGAAACTGATTTGGAAGCACAATGATGCTTTTAGGTGGCAAGTTCCAAGAAGAAACTCAGGGAGCTGTTCGCGCGTACTGTTTTTTTTTAGGTTTCAAGGAATTGAATACAATACCCTACACTACATACACTCCTAACACACACACCCCACACCACTGGGCTAACCCTAGTGGTGTTTCGCGCGTACTGTTTCCGTTAACAACATATATATGTGTTTTTTTTGGAGATTAGATATATATGTTGGCATTAACACATGAAAATCTAATAACAAATAGTTCAAAATTACGAAAATAGAATTGTAATTATAGAACCAAACTCTTTCACCAAAATTTGCGGGATCAGCTAATGGATATTGTAGATGGGGCACATGAAGAGAGTGTGGAGATCTCTTTGCTTGTTTGCTCTAGCTTTGTTTTGTTTTGCTCTTTTACTTCTTTCATTCTCTTCTGCAATGATATTTCTTCTTTTGTAATAAAGTGATATGCTGTGGTTGCGTAAATGGTACTGAACACAGTTAAAATCCTAAGCAAATAAGCAGAAAAATAAAATAAAATACTATAAAGATAATATGTCTGTAAACCAATTCAAAATTGCATCCGTAAAATATGTGTGTGCTGATTGGATGGTAAACTATATTTTAGAGTTTAAGAAGGATTCTAATTGTGTTATTTGTACTGATCCTTTTTTCTGGGATTCAGTTACTGTATTTAGCTGATATGTCTTCTGTTGGTAGGAAAAGAACTTTAGTAGTTCATTAGTTTTCTATTTTTTCTTTTGTTTGGGCTTCGGCCTTTTTATGTACAAAAAAAAAAAATTGCATCCACAACACAAAATCCATACATCTAATAAGAATGTTATTGATAAATAAAATAAAAATATAATATAAAATTATTGGAAAAGACTATATTTACAAATTTTTTGTTTACAAAATTTTATAAACTACATTAAATATGACCGGTCATACTTCAATCAAGAGTGTATGAACGATCATACTTAATATAATTTGTAAACAAAATTTGTAAATAGTTCTTTCTGCAAAATTATTAATATAACCTTAATTTAATAACTTAAACTCCTGAGTTAAAATATTTGTTTTACATAATATCAGCTTTTACGGCAAAGTTATTCTTTATTTTATTAATAAAATTATAATACAATATAAAATTACTAATATAATATTTAACTCGCTGCCACAAATTACCATCCCTAAGAAAATGACCCTAATATGACTAAAAACATTCAGGTTCAGGTTACCGACGATATTACAAGTACCACTCTAATGGATAAGATTGAAGATAAGATGTATTCTTTGATTGATTTAATTTATACTTTGTGGTGATTTAGCAAACTCTTATTTTTACACTTTTTAAATAAGTTCACTTAAAAAGAGTTTTTTTTTTTTTTTTAATTCTAATACCATGTTAAAAAATGTTAGGTGCCGCATGGTGCATGAAGTTAGGCTTGGAATTAAATTTCGCAATTGAAAATGGACATTCTAATTCCACTTATCTTGTTTGGTATGTAATTTTGAATTGAAATTCTAATCCTATGTTTAATTTCATGGAAATAAAAAATGACTATTTCATAATATTTTCAATTTTCAACCTAGCCTTAAGAATTATAATTCTAAACACAAAGCATCACCATCTACCATAGTAGAAGAAGCCTAAGGAGCACCAACTCAACCAGTTCAGGTAAAAAAACTGAACACTATGTGTTTGGTTTGCTGAATTATCTTTGTTATAACAGTCCCAAACTAGAAGGGGTTGCAAAAGATAGTCACAATTGCATGATATCCTTCATTGATTTTCTTTTAAATAAATAAAAAAGCAGCATGTAAGATTTGGGGCACCGGGGATAATGGTAGTGTAACCTTTTCGTTGACATAGACAAAGGATTACAATATCAAGAAAATTATGTTGCCGGTGGTTGGTAAAAGAAATTCACTGGCTTACAGTCACATTAATCTTATTACACGAGTTTATTTTGTATGCACTGACAGAGTAAAAAAGCTTTACACTATCATCTAATTATGTATGGTGAAATCATTTAATGAGTTTAATAACACAGGAGTTGTCTAGCTTATTAAATGACGAGGTAATACATCATTAGATATAGGTATAATTTTTTTTTTATACCAACTGTGCATCAAATTTAAACTCTGAACAAAATTTGATTTACAATCTTCAAGGTATCCTAAACATGGAAAGAACTCCAAAATATAAAAAAAAAAATCTTAAAGAACAAAGGAGCTTGTTCTTTTAAACAAGAGAGTCCTTGCTTGATTTCTTAGGCTCATGACTCTCCTTTTCTTGATTATCCATGTTTTTCCCAGCCAAAAGTGGTGAGTTATCTTTATCTTTAACCTGTAAAGGGTAAAGGATAAATAATCAAATTCTTATAAACATTTTAACATAAACAGTATGGCAAGCAAGATAAATGAAAATTTAAGAGACAAATGGAGAAAAATGATGATAAAGTACCTGAGATGCCAACGGGGGATCAACTGACTGTTTCTTTTTGTTCTCCTGAGTGCAGAAATAAGAATAGAAGCCCATTCCACAAATGGCAACCAGTATTCCAATAATGTTCCTCTCGGTGAAAGGGTCATGGAGTAATGAGTAGCCAAATGCTAGAACAAGGCAAGTCTTGAGGTGGCCTAGCACTTGATAAGTTACAGGAGATGTTTTTCCTATGACTAGAAAGGTGCTAAAGTTCACAGAAACAGCTATCAAACAGGACATGATGATGAATGTCTGAAAAAAAAGACATTAATTTGAGAATATCAGTCATATTCTATAGTGTAATTTTAGCAATTATACATGCATCTAATAAGAGGGCGAGTCTAGAGCAGTGACAAAACTGTTACTTTGTGACTGAAAGATCATAAGTTCGAATTCGGAAAACAGTTTCCTTGCAATTATGCAAGGGTAAGGTTGCGTATAAGGATTGTCCTCACTCCACTCTCGCTAATCAGGGTTAAATGGGGAGTAGTTTTTGTATATGCGTCTAATGTTAGACATAGTGAAGATTGATATTTGGTGTTACTTACCAAAACTATAGGAGAATATTTGTAGGCAAAGACATTTTGCTTGGTGAGCATCTGATCCACGAGAGGGCCTGAAACAAAAAGAATTGCTGCTTGGAATGGAGCAGACTGGTAAAGCAGCTGTGTGGAAGAAACATTAAGCTTCTTCTGTATTGTGTTGGTCAGCTGAATTGAGCACAAAGTTAAGAATCAACAACCTTCACAGCTTTAAGCTAAGTGAGTCTAAGCCATCATAATTAGTTAATAACAAAAACTACATGTTGACAACCGGAAAAGAGTGAGCAGTAAAGGATACAATTTGGCCAACACATGTGGTTATGATAGCTAGAATGGACAACATGGTTCCAACAAAATTGAGCTGAAGGTCTGTGATAGAGGCAATGCCAACTCCAACAAGTAAGAGGAAAAGAGAGAACTTTATTTTCTGGCTGCATTTGGTAGCAAAAGAATTTACAATTAGTTAACATGACCATTGTTCTGTTTAATTTCAGTATTATTAGTATTGAGTCTTTTCATTGTTACCTGAACTGCTTCTTGAGGAAAATAGTTTCTAGCATTACTGTGAATGGTATGATTGCAAGTTTTGTCATCTGCGAAATAAGCATTAAAATTAATACATCTACATATATCATTGCATTTGGTTTAAATGCTACTAAGGGTCAATTTTTGATACATTATAGTAGTGAAATATTGATTCAAACCTGGTAGAATCCAATGGAATTGAAGCCAAGGCTCAAGTTGAGAAATCCAATGGAGACACCATTTAGAATGCCAAAAAGCATGACTGTTTTCATGTCAACAGGCTTGGCCTCAAACAGATTGAGGCGTTGAGCAGCATGAAGGGTGCAAAATGTAACCATCAAATGCCAACTTGTTAGCGTTGTGGCTGGTCCAAATGAAGAAAAAATAAAATAAAATAAATGTATTGACATTTTATCATAAAGAGTGTATAATTTTTTAAGAAGTGACCAAAATGATAATCACCGAATGGGAAGCCAAGCTTGCTCATCAAGGCTTTGTTGCATATGACAATGGAGACAGAAGAAGCCACTGAGAGAAATAGTGCACCAATAACACCCAATTGGAAGCTTGACATCTCTCCCATCTTTGCTGCCAATATATTTTTCAATACAAAGACCCTTCTTAATGCAGGACTTAAAGTATTTACATAGTCAGTCTTCAAAAAAAAAAGTATATACATAATCATACATATATGAACACTCTTAGGAGTACTATTTTGGAGGATCTAGAAAAGGAAAGGGATAAAAATTGAAACTACACTATCAAGTACATCATGATAGAAATCATAGTTGATGTCATGTAAACTCCTAACTCATGCTTGTAGGAAATGCATTTATATGATAATCTAATTAATCCAAGGTTAGGTACGGTAAGTACCAAAAGAAACTAATTAAAACCTACCTTATTTAATCTTTATTATGAGGAATAAATGCTATATTTCAGATAAAGAAACAAGAAGGACCTTGGAGTAGGTGCTAAGAGCCCTGAAAATGAATAGGTGATCACACAGTATAAACAAACCAAGTTGAACATAGGGCCATGCTCCATTAAAGGAATGACTTGTTATCATCACATCACATACCTTAATTTGAACAATGGAGAATTTGGCTTTGCAAGTGTAAGGGCTCCTACAACTTCAAAAGATCAAACCTTAAGTTCTCAGAATACAGAACTCCAAATCTCAGCTTGAGACAAGAGAGAATGCAGCTTTTGCTACCTTTTTATTTTTGATGAGAAGATGTTCATTGAGTTTGTGTGTGGTTTGGTTGAGTTTTGGTCTGGCATGGCTGGTGGCTCAACTTAACCACAGTTAACGGCCATTTGAAGCAAAATAAGAGAAAGCATTACAATCACATACCCTTCAACATAACACATAGTGACATAGACATTCAACATCTTGGTGTTGTTTTTGAATAACCAAAGCAAAAAAGCACAATAGACAGCTGAGATGTTAAAATCAAGAGGGTGTTTTAGTCCAATTGGATGCAACATATTTTATTCAGAATTTTATCACCAAACACTTTTGTCCCACGTAGCTTTCATAAATTGTATATAGTAAACGAGTCTTGACTCATAAGTTAGGAAGGTGAGTGAAACTAACATTTATGTGTCTGCCATTCCAAGCAAACACTCCAACCCAATTCAACATCAACTTCAACCTCACTCCTAATTCCTAAGTAAGACTTCCTTTTTTTATTTTATTTTATTTTTACAACGTTTCCTTCAAGCTCCTCCTTCCATACTGTTGAATGTGAGGGAAATTGCCTATATGGTTATAATTAGTTTTTTTTTTTTTATCCTTAATAACTATATATTAGATAATTTAAGAAACGGAAAAGTATTTCTCTTATCATAAGAGATAAAGCATGTCCTACAACTGCAACTCCAAAACAACATTATTGCAATATATTGCATTTTGAAAATTTTCTTATCTCTTGCAATATAATTTTTTTTTTTCAAAATACCCTTAATTCATTTCCTTTGACAAAAGAAACACTAAATCTTTCAGGAAATTTAAAATAAGGGTACGTGAATATTTAAAAGATATTATAAAATTTTACAAATTTTTAAAATATAAAAATTCTAAAAAATTAAATTTTTTAATAATTTAATTATAATTTAGAATATCCAAAAATCAAATAGACCAAGAAAATTTAAGGATCAAAGAGACTTGATTATAAATAAAACTAATGATCATGGGAGAATAAATGTAAACATACGATATTTCTGGTATCTCTATCATCACTTATCATATTGTGAATTAACTTTTCATTATTATCCAATTGAATGATATATATTTTGGTAGGGAGAGGTTTGTCGCACTTGAGATATTAAGTTCGTTTGTTGCTGAATTTTCCTTTTAGATTTTGCACAATGAAAAATATTAAAACTGGAACTGAAAAATTATGCTTCGTTTGGTTAAATTTATTCGTTCTATTAGGCTTATTTCAATCTTAAGCAATTCGATTTTTTTGCGTGTGTGCAGTAGATTAGGAAACTATAACAAGGCATTCAAAGAGATATTATTTGATTCTCTTTTTCAACAAGTAGTAATCCAATTAATTAGGTAATCAATCTACCAAATAGTAAGATAACGAAAACGTTATTACACCTGCAAGATTTTAGAGCTATTACACCCGGAAGAGAAAACCAACCCCTATCTGCAAAGGATAATAATATAGATAAGAATTTTGAGAGTTTTGTTCGTTCTTGCTTCAAAAAAGAAATCAAATTTCAGTAACACTCAATCTGAATCGTATACAAGTTTTTCCAGTGAGGGAAACAGCAGAAGGTGCACCACATTAAAACTAGGAGATTCAAGAAATCGTAAGCCATTATATTTCTTTGCAATACTCATGCTATCAAATTTCTCACTTTACATTATTTTCTTAACACTTTTTTAAAAGTGGTAAGTACAAGATAAGTTGGGTCTGACCACACATGGTTGAGCATGGTCCAGTTGAAGTTTAGGATGAATCTCTAATGGGATGAGCTTTGATGCGGATACTCCTACGAGATGGTAGTATTGGTGTTTGAGGTCTTTGTTTGATTGAGACAAATGAGGGAGGTACTTGCAAGACATTATGATGTTCAAGTCAGTATTTGATCAATAACTTTAAATTATAACAGAGAAGATGAACATACTTTGGTTTTGAGCCTTCTTTATACGGTGATCACTCAGATATGGCAAAATAGGTTGATCTGACGGGTCAACCCACCAAAACGGGACGGGTTCAAGGTTTTTTTTTTTGGTAAACTTCTTTTTAAGAAAAATTGAAAGAATTATTTTTCATTATATTTTAAATTGAAATAAAAAAATTAAATTGATAAAATCAAAATTGTTCATACTTTTGATTTATTATATTTTTTTATAAAGATTTTTCTTAAAAAAAATGAATTTTTCTATATATTTTTTTGGTGCATTGCCCCCACCAACCTAATGTATTTAATGGGTTAATGGGTCAATCCGCCTTAAAATGGGATGGGATGGTATTTCCAACCCATCACCCAATGGCGGGTCGACCAGCCCCGCCCAATTTTTGGCAGGTTGATGGCGGGTCGACCCGTTTTTCCATCTCTATGGTGATGTCATAACCTGTTTATGTCGCCTTAGTATGGCGTTATTTGATCATATTGGTGGACTCAAGCTGTATACTATCCCATTTGCGGGATGCCTATTTGTGGGTTATGTTTCATAGATCTAGTTGAAACAATGTGTCTGTCCTTTAGTCATTGATTGTTGATGAGGCTTAGTAGTGAGATTAATGTGTTTTCTTACTCTTTAAGTCTTTATTATTGAGCTTCTTGAGCTGTAAACGGGTTGGATCCTTTATTCTGCTTAGTATGGTCGAGATCAAAAGGGAGGTTTGTGCATTAACTTTGAAAAAAAAATGGTGTTATGGAAAGGAGAATGTGTCTTTTTTTACACATAAGATTATGCATATTATACATGTTAATTATAAGTAAATTCTTTACTAAAAGTAAAAATTATAAGTAAATTATGTTAATATGTATTAATTGGTTATCGATCTCTGGCCGGGGTGTATAGAAAAGGCTTTGTTGGGAGAGCTTGTACCTACGATCGCGTGATCTCTCCGCTTCGAGAGGATTAGTCCTTGGCTTTCGGCTAGGGGATACCTTTGAAACAATTTTAAAAAAAGAAGAAGAAGCTAGGATCATATCACTAGTTTAATAGTTAATAAAGACACATTTTAGTATCAATTATTTACACATTGTTAACTAGAGCATAGGAGATGATCTAAGCAATGTTATAAAACCCGGCCCGGTGAATGACTCGGTCGGGGTACTGGATTAATGGGTCACTGGTTGAACCGGTTGTATATATAAAATAAATATTAAAAAATTAATTTAATAATCTAATTAATATACACCCAAATAATTGTTTTTCTTTGCTGAGCAACATATAAAAACAATATTATGGTTTAGGGTTTGTGTGAGATTGATGATGTGATAAGTTGTTTATTTTCAATACACAGTATTAAGTTGGTAAAAATACTTGCTAGGGTTTTCTTAGTATATTATATCGTGTTGCTCTTGCATTTCAACTGAAATGCTACTTAGTATTTCTGTGATATTTCATTCAACTAGATGATTAAGTGGCATTTATGGTGGATTTTTTAATAATTTGTTTCTTTCTCTTGTCCAATGGTAGTCTCTTTAGCAAGCATGAAATGGAGCAATCTTTGATTGGCCTTCAGAATGCTGGGAAAACATCACTTGTAAATGTTATTGCAGTTGCGAATGTGTAAGTAATGCCAATTTATTGAGGATCGTGTTGGTGTTCTAACAGTTCATGAAGATGAGAGATACAGGATCCATGGGGAGGGGGGAGAGAAGCAAAGAAACACGGCTCTGTTAAATGTTGAGGAAGAGAGAATTTTTGTAATGATCAGAGTAAGGCCTTTGAATGAGAGAGAAATAACAAGGAACGATGTATCGCAATAGGAGTGCATTTCTGGCAACAACATCAGATTCAGGAATAGCAGTCTTGGAGAACAGCGATGTAAATTCAAGATTTAAAGGTTCCACATCGGCCAAATAAGGGTGAAGTATAATGTTTATAAAGTATTGGACATGCCTTCAGTACAATATGATTCACGGTACCAACGTGGTCTTGGCCCAAGAAAACTGGTTTGTTCTCTGGGTCGAGTCCGTATCACTTCAAAAGCATAATTAATCCGTTTTGAAACTCGGACCGGTCACATGGCCAATTTACCGGTTTCCCGATGGCCCGGTCCAGTTTTAAATGCACTGGATCTAAGTGTGCAAATAACATAAATGGGTATTGATATTTGCACACACGATGAATGTTAGTAACACAGTCTTTCTAACCGATTTGAAATGAGGCCTATATTTTAGGATGGAAAATGGAGAATTACAATTCTTAATTAAAAATAAATGGACTAAATTTTAACAACTTCATAATTTATCATATGTGTACAGATATTTTATTACAATTTTAGCGGCTAATTTGATAATTAACGATTATAATTTCGTATATTTTCCTCTTAAATGCACTTCTCAATTTAAAGGAGCCAAATTCCTTTCCAACATACCTACTAT